AACTTGGCCCCTCAAGTTACTGTCTGCCTGGAAAGAAATCGCATGTGGATAGCACAGAGCAGAAATGCGAAGGTCAGCATTGTCCTACGGCACCCAGGATCTGTTCAAATCATGTCACAGGGACAGCCGTTGAAGTCCCTGGGCAGGTACTTGCTGTATATGAATTGTACAAGAAGTGGTACCTCAAGACTGAATACCAGGGCTTCTAAAGGGAGCTCATGTGCTCACGGGCTGAGGAACTCACAGCAATGCAGACAGTCACTGGGATCTTTTCTGGGAGTTGTTTTGTTTCACAATCATGTTAGAAGAGTCTGAATTTTCAGGTGATGAGAGGGAGCAGAAACCCTGAGGTGGCAGCTATGCCTGCTGGAAATCACTGGATTTGTGCTTGCAGCTATGCAGCTGGTTAAAAGATATTCAGTGAAGAGCTCATTGGTTGGCAAGAGGCCTGGCATGGTGAGGCCATGCAGAGGTCTCAGAACTTTAACCACTCTGCCTCCTCCTAACAGGTGAAAGTTAACAAAGCTATGAGTTTTAACAGGTCCTAGATGATCGCTGCTGTACTTTGGAAGTTTGCTCCAAGGCAAAGCTTAACAAACCAAAGCTCAGAGACAGAAAGAGACAGAGACACAGAGACACAGAGAGAGACAGAAGGACATAATGCTTTATAAGAAATGCACTGGGTATGGGCATGAATATTCATCTTCTACAGAAGGGCTGAGTGGATCATCAGAGTTGGACAAACTGGGGCATTTGTTCATGTGTGCAGATGAACCCTGAGTCTGCTGTAGAGGACCTGCACATGGACCCCAGAACTTTCCACTGAGACACCAGCAGGAGACCAATGCCTACAGGAGACCAAGAGGCTCTGTCAGCAGGATCCTAACATTCAGCAGCTCCACCCCCAGCTGCTTTGGTGTCTTCTTATCTCCCCACTGGGAATCATCTTCAAGACATGCTCCAGATTTCAAGAATCACTCTATTAGGGCAGGTGAGATAGCTCAGTGGACTAAGTGCCTGCTTTGGCAAACACAGGGATGAGGGTTCAAACTCTAGTCCTGAATGTCGGCCTGTCCCACGCACTGGGTAAACAGAAGCGAGCAGGTCAGCCATGTAGGTGACACTTGTAATCCTAGCCCTGGGGAGGTTAAAAACAGTCCAAGCTGCATAGGAAGACCCTGTAGCATAAAAGAAGAAAGAAAGAAAAATAAAGAAGAATCACACTAACCTCTTCCATTGTCATGTTATTCTTCTTTATGTGAACAGGAAGTGGGCCACATTCCCCACCCTGGAAAATCAATTACTTTGATCTGTTTTGCTTTCTATGAAGTTCTAATTACACATTCTCATCAAATTTGCTCAAAAAATGCAAATTGAGGGATGGGCAGTTAGCTCCAAGGATTAAATCTCCTGCTTAGGCAGGCATAGGGATGAGGGTTCGATCCCTAGTGTACAGAGCTGGTCCGTCCCACCAGCGTGTGCTGAGATGGCAATGGAGACTGGGCGTGGTGGCACAAGTGTGTAATCCCAGCACTTGGAAAGCTGAAAACAAGAGGATCACTCAAAGTCCAATCTGTGCAGTGAGAACCTGTAGACCCTGTACTAAGTACATAAAGAAAAAGAAAAAGAAGAAATGCACACTGCTTTCAAGTCCTCACTTTTCCACCCAGCAAGGTAACTTTAGTCACCGGGAGTTCCCGTGGGACTGCACTGCAGAAATTCGTTCGTGGCCTCAGGACCATGCCGAGTTACTCTCTGCTTTGAAATACTCAACACTAAACTCCCAGAAGGGGGAGCTCTCTAAAACAGAACTCCTTGCATTACTTTTGTTCATTTTCCTCGTTCATAGTGTGAAAACATATGTAAATCAGTTCGAGTATTCAACTTGGACTATCCGCATCAGCGACAGCGAAGCCTTTAGCACACTTCAATCATATGAGGAGCTCAGCGCAGCTCACAGGCCACAGGTCCACCAGGGCTTGTCGCTAGTTTGCAAAGTCCAGAGGAGTTCTGTACCTTGAAGCATCCAACAGAAAAGTTCCTTGTGAGAACACTGGGGGCAGACAGGAGGGATGTAAAGCAACAATGATTCCTTTTTTATTTTCAAATGAACAATGAAAGCATAAAAATATATATAAAGAAGATATGCTGAAAATATAATCTATAATAGAAATATGCACTTCCCAGGATGCAAGAGCAAGCCGAGAAAGCTCGAACATGGTGACAGTTATTCCTGTTGTCCAGATGCTCTGAGAGAATGGGAAGTCACTGATGACAGGAATCCCTCAAGATATTAGCACATATTTCTCTGCGGCTTCACAGAGAAAACCTGTAGGTCTTGCATTAGATCTCAGTTTAATGACTTTCAGGATTAATCCCTGGAAAAGCAAAATAGTGGCAGACACAGGAGTCCACATTGTCCTCACTGAAGCCTGTTAATATGTTTCACTACACGGAATAGGACTTTTCAGACACATGCCATAAGGCCTGAAGATGGGAAGACTGTCCCACTTCACCAGAGTGAGCTTTGGGTCAGCACAGAGTGCTAGGAATGGAACCGGGAGTTGGGAGCTGTGCAGAGGTTAAGGGAGCACACTACATGCGCAGAGATGAAGGTGACTCAGCAGATTCCAAATTCGGGGTGGGAAAGCAAGGAAAAATGAAAAAGAAATGTAAAAGGATGAGACTTCAACACATGGCAGGAAGAATACACGGATAGATGATAGAGAAACACACGCTAGGTAGGTAGATAGGCAGGCAGGCAGGCAGGCAGGCAGGCAGGGAGACACACAGATAGACAGACAGAGACAGAGACAGACAGACAGACAGATAGATATCTTTTTAATTGACAGAATTCTGGCATGAAAAGAAAACCACCACACTAGCAATAAACTTTTTGATCTTAAAAACAAATTTTCACAAAATTACTTGAAATTAAAAGTAAAGGGAGACGGGTGACTCAGCAAATAAACAGCAACAACAAAAATGGAATCTGAAGAGATGAACTGTAAGGGATATTCATTCAAAGATCAAAGGAGACTATAGGAGAAAGAGCCCCACACGTGGATCTGGCTGTTCTATATAGAATACCAAAGCTATTGATAATCCCAATATGATTTGAGCAAACATATTTTGATTATGGAAGCCATTATTATGAGTAATGTTCATATTCAGTGATGACTTGTCCTAACACATTGGAAATGCGTGAGTCAGGTCGCTTTCCTCTGCTTCCCCAGAGCATTCAGATCTCCAATAATTCATCTCTGCCTTTCCAGAAAACACCATGAAAAGAGAACATCAGCAATTGCCCTTTGTGGTCGGCTTTGTTTTTCCACTGAAAAATCTGCAAGATGCCCTCCTGCCTGCTGATTCACCTTGCAGTCCGGGTCCTCTGATTTGCAGAAGCTAAAGGAAATGATCCCAAAACAAAGACGGTGACCTACAAAGGGCCATCCTGGTGGAGTCACATCAAGGCTCATCGGTGATCTTACAGCCCTACAGCCTTGCCTCTCTAAGTTCTCCAAGCCCACTGCACACATTAACTTTACTTAAACAAACACAGCTACTGCAGAGAAACAAACACTTTATCTCACAAAGGCCACTAGGAGAAGGAGAGCTACACTCTTGGCAAAGATGAGTGATAACTAAGCACTTGAAAGTAATTTCTGCTGGGAGACAGACTGGACAGAGGCACCAATACAGACCTGAGAGAGCGGCTTCCTCCTCATACAGTTGATGCCCCCGATGAAGACCATGTTGGGCATGATGGGCCTGGGGTATTCCAGCACAAAGTCCCATCTCATCAGCCACACGGAAGCATGGCTGAGAAAATCCACCACAGACACCTCTTTCTGGAGCAGTTCAGAGGCGAAGCTTGCATAGGGAGAAAAAACCATGTGGCAAAACAACTTCAAGCCCACAGGATAGAGCATGTTCTTGACTCTCTGCAGGAAAGTCATGTGGTCAGAGTGTGTTGTGAACATCTGCGGAATGTAAGAGAAAGGGTGGGGACACTGAGTGCCCTCAAAGTCCAGACCACATGGGATGCCCCGCAGAAAAAAGACAGTTGGAATACTCAAATACTGGGCCAGCACTGCCCCACAAGGAAAAACAGGGTCTGTCAGCACCACATCGAAGGAACTGGCATTGAGTTGGCTGATCAGGGTACTGTTGCGCAGCATCTGCACACAAGACTTCTCATACAGCTCAGAAAACTTCTTGAAAGATGGCATAATTGTTAAAAATGTCTCCAGAATATTCTGTGTTTCTATGATAAAGCTACCCTCACTCAAAAAGTTATTAAATTCCTCTTGAGTGTAAGGAAAGGCAAAGGACTTCAGAGTGAAGAAGTCATCTCCTCTGATTTGCAAGCTGACCTCCGGAGCCAGGACCACAGCCTGGTGGCCTCGGGAGTGGAGCTCTCTCACCAGGTCCTTCATGCTGAGCCAGTGGCTGCCATCCATAGGCACCACCAGCACCTTTCCGCCCTCAGCCCATGGCATGACACACCCCACAAGCAGCAGCCTCACCAGCCATTGCCAAGGCACCTGCAGCGCTGTGGCCATGTCTCCAGAAGCCAACAATACTGGCCTTCCACACACACCGAGCTTCCTCCCTGGGATTCATGTTCATGATTTTATCATGAGCAAAATGGCCTGTCATTGGAAGATGGGTGCTGCACCCAAGTTAATCATTATGGAGTACTGCCTTCCTCTTACATGTCCAGCCAGGGAGAGTTTGATCTTATCGCCTCTCTTCTGGCACAACTCTTCTGACCTCTCACTTTCTCTGGGCGGACATCTGAGTTCACCCATTTTTATTTCTGTTCCTCAGACAATGCACTTGCCCCATTTCATCTTCTATTCTGTCACCCGCTTGCTGCAAGGCTGTCACAGAGCTCTGAGGAATGAGCCATGCCTTGGTTCCCAAAGTTCCTTCAGCCCGAGCAGTGATCCTAGCCAGGAACTTTCCACCTTTCCTCCCTCTCGCCAGCAACGTGGAATACACCAGAGTTTCCAGGTAGTTTTGTCAAGCCAGCTTGCACCAAATGACAAGGTGGCTGCTGGTCATCTGATCTAGTTCACTTTGTGCAGCAGGATATCCCTACCGTGCTCACTCTACTTAAATATCAGAGGTACATGGCGGAAGCTGTATGATTGAGAAAAGCTGGATGGCTCTGAACATGAGACCTGATTTGGTGCTGCAGACGGGTCTGCAAAGAGCTGCTCATCTAGCCCATGGCGCGTGAGTTTCCTGGGATGAGATGCACAGCGTAGAGGACTGCCTGCCTCGCTGGGTGAAGTAAGTCCGAGGTTATATCCACGGTTCGTGGCATATTTTTAAAAAGTACTTCCTAAGGATCTTAATATATTAAGATTCAGAATGTTCATTGCATGGGTCAGTGATTACTTTCAGAGAGCCCACACTCATGCCTTCTAGAGAACTCCTCACTCTTTGAGGTGGGTCAGGGTGGGCACAAAAACCCTTTCACTATGAACAGACATGGAAGAAACAAACCCAGAAGCTTTGGAGAGCAGAACAGAGATTGACAAAAGCTGGCCTGGCATCAAGCATCTGGTTCTGCGGCAGAGGATGGAGGTAGAGTAGGAAATAAAAGTGAGGACTAAATCCAGAAAATGCAAGCAGTCTACAGAGTAGTCTAAAGTGCAGAGAGTGGACTTAGATTTTACACTGTCGCTGCCACCGTGGAACTACTTTTCACCTTACAACATGTAATTGTGTTGCAGTATTTTAGGTCTCCCTGGAGAAGTCCTGATCTCTACTACTTAAGAGTCAAAGTCTTTTTCCGATCTCTGTGAACCGCCGTGAACTTCCCCTCTGAGTGGTCATGTGCTGGTCTAGCACATGTGCACTTGGGAGCTTTTTCTGAACTCCAAGCTCTGTGTGCCCCGAAGTCGGTCTGAGGTGCTTAAGGAAAAGAAAGTCACTTTCCACTGAAGACTGTCATCTTGGAAGAGCACTGCAGGTACGCTATGGATGTGAACTTGCAGGTCACTGATGGGCAGGAAGTTTCACAACAGCAGGGCTGGAGGTGGCCGGAGGAGGTGGAGCTTCAGCTGCCCCCTGGCTTCCCTGAGGATTGCTGACCCCGAGGGTGCCCCGTGCAGTCACACCACCCCAGAAGGCAGCGCCTGGCATCAGCTCTGCCCTAAGAGGGCCCTCAAAGAGAGTTTTCCCCTTTGTTTTATCTCTTCCCTTCTTGTCTTTTCTTTTTCTTTAATCTTTAATTTTTCTTCGTCTCTCATCTCCCTTTCCAAATCGTTAGTTTGATCTTTTTTCACCCCTTGTCTCTTTTTACTGCTATGGTCTCCCTGTAAGAACCTTTCTTTTCCTTTCATCCATTTTTAAATCTTTAATTTTATCTTTTCCTTCTCTTCATTGTTATTTTTCTCCTTTATGTATTTTGACACTTTTTTTTACAGTTTTATACTTAAAAATTCCTCTCTTCATTAAATGGTATGATTTTGCATTATTTGATACTGTTTTCATCCATCTGTTTTACGTGGTTACTGGTCACCATGTGGACAGCTCTACTCAGCAAGTTGTTACCATATTCATAGACCAGGTTTGTTTGTATGTTGTGATTGTTCCTGCCACTTATGCTTCATTTTCTGAGTGCTGCTTGAGATTGAGGCCCGTGCTGTGAGCACACTGTGTTGGTGCTCTGCTCCTGAGCTGTATGTCCAGCCTAGATCAACAAACCTAGCTTTATCCAGCCCCAAGCTAGTCTCACTAGAATGTTGAAGAATCAAAACAACCAATGAAAAACAACAATATGACATGAATGAGAATCTATCTTGCTATAATTACTCTTATATAAATGTCCTTGTTTTTCCTGTCAAAAGACACAGGCCATTTAGTTGGACTGAGCAACAAGATGCAGTGCTTCATTGTCTAAAATAAACTCATCTTCTCTCAAAAACATCTAAAGAATGAAAATGAGAGGATGAAGATGATATCCTAGTCAAAAGCATTCTAAAATCAGGCAGCACTAGATATATATGTGGCTACCAAAGTAGACGTCAAAAAAAATTAGATAACAGGTACAAAATAGATCTATACAAATTGATAAAGTGTACAACCCATGAAGATAAAACAGTTCTGATTATTTAGACACTGAATACAGAGGCACATAGTTCCATAAACACTACCATATGAGAGAGACAGAGAGAAAGAGACAGGGAGAGATAGGAGAGAGAGACAGAGACAGAGACAGAGACAGAGACAGAGACAGAGAGACACAGAGTGATCCTAGCACAGTCATGATAGTGTTGACATTATTTCACTCACCCACAGAGATATCATCCAGACTCCTCCCCAAAAAGTCAACAAATATCAGAATTAAAGGTATTCTATGGGTCAAGTGGACATGGAAACATTTACAGTGTTTTCCCCCTAAAACTACAGAATACATATTTTTGGGATTTTAAGTGGGAAGTTATATTTGCACTCACCTGGGAAATTTAAAGACTTAGAAAGATCCAATCAGAGAACAAAAAGTAGAAAAGGACTGGCATATAGATCAATATGAAGATTCTAGGTTCAATCCCCAGTGAAACAGAATCATAACAAGCAGCTCTGAATAGGACATACATTAGCCAACGGGCTTTCACATTTACCTATGAGTCTGGCCAAGGCCTAGGCCCCTTGTATGGAGACAGGTGACAGACTCCTGGTAAGTGAACCTCCGTGAGTCCCGGGTTCTGACTCAGGCCTGTATGGATGGTGAAGCCATGAAGCCTCACAGGATGAGACAAGATCACAGCCAAGGATGCTTGGCTCCAACCTCCACTAGATAAAGGCTGAGGCCTCAGTCCTTTTACGCCTAGGTGGAGACCTTCTTGTGGTTAACACAGCTCTCCTAAATTAACATAATGCCTTACTTGGAGAAGTCCCTGAATGGTTCTGCCTTCTTGTGCACATAACTGAATAAATACAGGCCTCCAAGAAAAGGTCTAGGTCTTCGCCCCCACAGAATCTTGAGTTGTGTGAGAGGGTTTTGATCCTCCTAGAGCTCTCAAATCACACCATTTGTCAGTCTTTTTTTAATCTTCACTGTCCACTCGCTTGAGAGATGGCATTTTGGAACAGTCTATATGAACTAAGGGATAATTGTAACTTTGTACCCCAGTAAAACATGTGTGCACACATGCACAAACATACACACACATGTGCACACATGCACAACATTCTTTTCATTAGCTCAAGCAAGTTTCCCCAAAACACATCAAAAATTCTTAATAAACATAAATAATTGAAATACCTTCTTGCTTCTTTATAGGCTGACCATAGTGGAATGACATTACAAAACAACATCAAGAGGCATTGCAGAAATTATGCAAACACAGAGGGATTGAACAATAAAGCTTTGAAAAATCTCTGGCTCTTTCAAGAAATTAGCAAAAAAAAAAAATGTTAAAATCTTAGAATCCACGGAATAATATGGAAATAAAACCATTCAAAAGCTGAGTGACACTGAGCAATGTTATAAAAAGGTGACAAATATAAAGGCCTACATGAGAAAAACACAGTGATTTCAAATAACCTAAACAGAAACCATTTCAAAACCTTACATTATCAAGAACAAATCAAAAACGACATCAGTAGAATGAAATACAGAATAAAGATCAGAGGTGAAATTAATAACAGGAGACAATACCAATGCCCCTCACAAAGGCCTTACAAAACAAAAATAAGATGTCCTTCCAAGTGCACTTTATGTACCCAGTATTATCTGCTGCCCAGTCTAGATAAGAATATAACAGAAAAAATGATTATAGGCAAAAGTCAATGAGGACTACATATGCAAATTTCCTGCACAAAATATTGGCAAACTGAATCCAGCATCACACTTTAAAGCTCATTCACCATGATCAAGTAGATTGATTCCAAGGACACAAGGCTGCCCAGCATGCAGAATGCAATTAGCATAATAATAGTACATAAGCAGGATTATAGAAATTACATGATCAGTACATAGAGAAAAGCCTTTGATAAAATCCAACCTCCTTTTATGAGATAAACCCATTAAATCCAGGTGTAAAGGAGAATACATCTACATAATAGGTCATGTATGACACTCATAGCCAAAACATATTAAGTGGGAAAATACAATGTCTCTGTATAGTTAGAGTGAGACGTGGGTGTCCAGTCTGAGCACTTTTATTCCACATAGAAATGGCAACTTCAAGGGGCTGGGGAGATAGCTCAGTAGAGTAAGCACCTGCCTGGTAAGTGCATGTTCCTGAGTTCAATTTCCTTCCCCCCCCCCAAAAAAAAAGATGGTAACTTCAAAAGAATAAGGGAATATAAAAAAGTAAAAGTGATACAATTGGAAAAGAAACAAAGTTACCTTCTTTGCACAGAACATAAATTCTTCATGTAAAAGACGCTGAAAAATCCACCAAATGCCTCTTATTACTGATAAGTTTTGCAAAGTGAGATGACACAAAATGAACATGTAAAACTAGGTTGCTTACTGTGTATTTACAATAAACATGCTGAGCAGAATATCAGCAAAACAGTCCCACGTATAACTTTGTCC